TCAATCGGAAGTGATCAGTTATTTTCTCATCTGATTAAAGTATAACTATTTAATAAATCACCATAGGCAAAGTTATTTTTATCTTTAAAACAGTTTTCAATACCTCAGGTGCATCCATTCTTTACGTTCTCTCAATTTCTAATCTTCTGAATTTCCCATCACCTCTTTCTCTCTCTTTCTAAGGTATTCTCACTGAATTGTGCTTCTTGAATAATATCTTCAAACCCTAATCTTCTCAATTTCTACATCTACAACTATGTTAATTGAATTGACGATACGTATCTCTGTGCAAATGTGGTATATGGCAACCTGGACTTATGTATATACGTACGTACGAAGTTCCACGTTGTAACTGACTGACTGATTGGGTTTTTGTTAGGATATTCATCCAATATCTTAAGAGAATTATTGGTTGAATCCTATTGGTCGATTTCTATTGGTCAAAATTATGGTCGTTTTAACTGTCAAAGTCAAATACTTCAATGTTGTATCTTATTGGTCATCCAGACTGTCAATGTCATTTCAAATGTTACTTCCTATTGGTCATCTTAACTATCATTGCTACAGACTTCGATGCTGTTTTCTATTCGACCGAAATGTATAAATATGTTTTATGACCACGACTAGGACCAGGGCTCGATCCCGGATCCCTAGTCCGGGATCCTGATTCTCTTCTGGATTCGGACCTCGCACTTTCTGGGTGCTTGTAGAATACAGGTTCTACTTCATATCACGTCTTCTTATTTTTACTAAATATGGGGGGTTTGGATAATCGGATTTGTGTAGCATGTCGTGTCACCGGATCCTCGATCCTCGCTCTCGTTTTCCGACCAGGTAAACTCGTAATAGTTCAAGTATATCATTTTGACGTGTTTACGTGCAGGCGTAACAGTTTTTTCTTCAGGATATTGTTATATTGTTATATAATACTCATTATTAATAGTAATACTTATTTTCTCTGAATTTTTTTCACTTCATCAAAAAGCAATTGATCAACATGAAGCATTAAAAGTCACAGAAGAATTGAAACAAGCATTTACAACAGAACATCAAGAAAAATTACTAGTACAATCTCAATTGAAAATAATCGAAGTAAGTTGTTTGCATTGTGTACACAATATATAATGATACTTGAAACATGTTTATTTCTTTCATTGAATGAATAATGAAGGAAAATACTTTTATAATGAAGATAACAAAGTTTATGAAGATGATCATGTTGGGGATGTTGGACCCCCCCCCCCAGAACTCGCTTGATAAATGCCTTAATTTTGGATTTCACGTTTTGCGAGCATATGCTGACCAGTGGACCTTGATATTTCATTTCCCATCAGGAAAATCCATGGCTGTGATTGGCCGCTATGTATTTTAGTGTGCTGCTTCCGTAACTGTCCCAAGGACGTTTCTTTGATGTATAAATAAACGAGAGTTGTGTGCTTGATTGTATTGTGTGATTGCTCGGTGTTGTAGAATATACTTTCTACGCTTACCAAGACTTCTGTTTACCGCTTGGGATTCAAGGTAGCTTACCTGGACGCTGGTTCATTGTCTCGTTCGCGTTTATCGACTAAGGTGAACTCGTAATAGTTTCGAGCGTACCTAGTAACGAACATAACAGATCACAAACCAGAGAACAAATTTCTAATCTCTAGAAAATTCTAATTTGCTTACATCTGGTAGTAACATTGGAGCTAATCATTTTGTATAAAAAGAGAATCGTTCAGTTTTTTTTCAAATAATTCGTTTCACTCTATTAGAATATAAGACTACTGCTAAAAGAATCCAATATATATATTTCATGGATATTTTAAACAAACATTTTTGTGTACAATAGTTACTTTGGTTTTAAACTATCCACCTTAAAGTTAATTTTAAAAAAATAATCATAAATTGAACTAGATTATTCCCTATCAATTTATTTAAATTTCTCGTTTACTCATTGGGGTGTTTTTTATGTGCATTGAACATTGAATATGTGAGTTTCATTGTAATTGTTGAATTTAATCAAAATAATTTTGTCCGAATAACCGAAAATCAAGTTTACACAATATACACAATGGATATCATCGATTGTGAGTGTTGCTGACATCATCCCCTTTGAGAAACTTCAATTACTTATTAGTTTGAAAATAAGGTTAAAACTTTGTGTAGAGAATTAAGATTAGAAGTTGAGTTGTTTGGATTCGAATGAGAGTTTTCCACTCGAACTGACATCATTTATAATACTTTAATGTTATTTCACCATGTGAATGAGCGTATTTTACCGCGAAATTCCCTAATTTGAATCTAATCACTTAGCAAGGTTACTGCTTTTTTCATAAAATAAACTGTTCAGTTGATAGTGTTGATTAACCACTCTCTCTTTATTCTGTTCAATTGTTATTAAATGTAGCAAAAATTTAATGATATTTGTCAAGTTGTTGATCATTTACGTGTTCAAGAAGATTCAGAGAAACAACGTTATGAACAAGAGGTACAAGTCAATCATAATCAATAAATAACTTTTAAACGTTTTTCTTTTTAAAATAAAAATTATTAACATTGTTCTCTTTTAAATCACATCAGAATACGGTCAGATAGAAGTAGTAATAGTAGTTATGGATTTGATTCTGAATCGTCCAGTCTTATTGAATTCGTTTAGATGATGTTCCCCATATGTCTGATGAAACAGAACTCTATTTTTGAGACAATTATTAGCAATAATAAAGTCAAGTGATGGATTGATTTTATTCAACTAGGAAGAACGTTAATCACAAAAGAGAGAGTCTTTAGGTGAATAAATGATATCGACTTTTAAATATTTTCACTTCTATAGTTTGAATAGAGAAATAAGAAGACATATTTTGTGAGATAGCACCATTTCGTGCTTTCTCGTCAGTCACTTCTATAGTTGTTGTTAAATGAAAATGCACAATCGACATCATGAGGTATTGTTTAGTTGACAGGAAAGCCTGTTTCACCTCCTCTTGTTGGACTGAGATGCATTTATGATTGATTGATTGATTGACTGATCAATGAGTAGTAACCAATGTACTGTATTTCGAAACGCCTACACTCAATGCCAATCTATTTGTAACGATTAAATTGCAGTAATAAATATTGTAGAAACTTACTCAAAAAACTGAGCGCTAACTGATGAAGAGAATTATGAAACAATAGTACGTCGTAAATTATGAGTTTATTTATTTCTCTCAAATTTACATCTAAAAGAAAATAGAATCAAAATTTTAACAAGTTGACTAGTGAAACAATAATCTGATTTGCTTACTTCACGATGAAATGAAGCTGATATAAAGTTTACACTTAAAGTATACGATTACTAAATCCTTGTTTCCATGTTAAGTGTAGTTTTGTGATGGTTGATTGTACTGGTTAGATAGGTACATCATTGGATTCCGACCTAGTGGTCTATTTTAGTTTAGTGGTCCACAGACTTAAATGGAAGGTCCTAATTTCGACTCCGGGTGGTAGGGTCGCGGATGCGCACTACTTGGAAGTCTCATATAACTTTAGAGTTTGCTGATTTTCAGTTTCGTTCTAACCTAAGATCAGTTTTCGATCTCACTAACGCTTACCGATCTCAAACAGAAATAAAAACTCTTAATGAGTATCTTATTTGTTGACTGCTATTAATTTAAACGTTAAAAGATTATTCATGAACTTATTTAAAATATTTTTGAGTATCCTTCTGTACTATTTATTGTCGTTTTTTTAATTATTCGTAAATGGCTGATAAATATTTCTCTTCGTAGATTAAAAATTTAAACAAACTCTTAAATGAAATACGCACTGAACATAAAAATGCATTGTTAAGAGCAGAAAAAGCTGAACAGAAATTAAACAAAACTGAGAAACTATTACGTAACCGTGAAATGGAGTACGAGTAAGTTGTATTTTTTTTATTCTGTCAAATAAATAAAGTCAATCGGGATCATTTGAATGATATTTGAAATATTCACGGAAGTTTATTTTTGAAATATTAAATAAAACTCAATCTACTGTTCAGTTCCTGATATTAAATATATAAACGGTCTCTAGAATGTACTCAGTTATCTTGTCACTACATTTCCGAGCTTAAGAACAACTGTTCATGACCTTCTGAATAATTCGAAGCGCTTAAAGGAGATTTGACTATGCTGACTATTCTGTTATTGTTGATCATTAAGGAATCTAGTCATGATTTTTGGTCATCAAAATCATTACATCCTCAGTGAACTCTTCATGTATGTAAAAATTGAGTATATTTTGTTATTTAATGATAAAAGATGATTTTGAGATGGTGGAGAAGATTTGTCGGTCAGGTGGATGATTGTGGTGGTGGTGTTTGGTTCTCTGAGCTGGGTGTTTTGGTTGTGGAGCTTTCATTGTTCGTCTACTGAACAACATCATCAGCACAAACTTCAGATAGAAGTGAAGCATTCGAATTTCTCCACGTTTGACCTGTAGCTTGTTCTGCTAACCTCAATCTTGATTAGTTGCTGTTGACCTTAAACCTGTCTTTGTACACACCTTTATTTTAAATGCATCCCCCTTTAGATCTGTTTCTTGATCCTATGTCACCTGCGATTTTTCTGATTGGTTTATAAATTGGGTCAATTTCGATGTGTTTGTTGATTGCTGATTGGCTTGAGTGCCAAGCTTCTAAAAATTCTCTAGTGTTTTTTGTCCTCCCCCTACCAAGTATTTCCACATTGTTCCAATCAAATGTGTGTCCATAATTGTCGGTATGTATTGATATAAGCGAAGCTTTGTCGTGGCGTTTGACTGCTAATTGATGTTCCCGTAAACGGAGCTGAAGAGGTCGTCCACTTTGTCTTATGTAGTGTTTTTCACAGTTTGAGCAATTTATTTTGTAGATGATATTTGGTTTTTCTTCATTTGTCATTTTGTCCTTTGGTCTACATAGGATTGATTGAAGTGATTTTGTGTGCCACACCTATACCAAATGGTTTAAGTAGTCGTGCTGTATGCTCCGATATGTCTTTGATGTGTGGCAGAATGATCCGTTTATTGGTTCCTGTACTTGATTTCGCTTCTGACGATGGTTTCGGTTGATGTTTTTTGATGAAGTTGCGTGGATAGCCGTTCTTTTGGAAGATAGTCATCAGATGTTTTTCCTCGTTTTTTAGTGCTTCATATGTGCTGCAGTGTGTCTTCGATCTCTTGAACAAAGTTTGTATGCAGTTGATTTTGTGGGTTCCTGGGTTGTTGCTGTCGTAGTTGAGAATCACGTCTGTGTGGGTTGGTCAAGCAGACGACACAGAGAACAACGAAGAAGCAGCCTTAAAGAAAAACTAATCAAGATTTCAAAGCAACCCACAAAAGAAAACGCAAGCAATTATGTGGTCAACGTCTCGAAGCAACACCTAACGACAACAGAAGAACAACTGCTCCAAAAAGTATTAAACTATAACACGAAGGACGCTTCAAAACTCGATTTCTTCGCTGGACTAGAGTCATCACTAAAAACGGCAGGAATAAGTGAAGAAACTCAACAAGAAATAAGGCAAACCATTGTACTACTAACTCGACGGAAGAGAGACAACAACCAACTAACAGTACAACAACGAAAAACTCTAAAGAAACTCAAAGCCAGGGAAGATATAGTCATAGTTCCAGCGGACAAAGGACGCACGACAGTAATTATGGACAAGGAAGAATATATCAAAAAAGCCGAGGAACTACTTCAGGACAGAAGCGTATATAAAGCAATTGACACAAACCCAATAAAAAGTTGGACAACCAAATCTCTAGGTGACATAGGATCAAGAAACAGATCAAAAGAGGGATGCAATCAAAACAAAGGTGCAAACAACGAGAGACTAAAGGTCAACAGCAATGCTTCACTTCTATCTGAAGTTTGTGCTGATGATGTTGTTCAGAAGAACAATGAAAGCTCCACAACCAAAACACCCAGCTCAGAGAAACAAACACCACCACCACAATGAATTCTATCATTTCAAAAATCAACTTACGTCTAACAATGATCGTTTTCATGTACGAACTCTAATTTGTCGAGTTGTAGATTTGAACTAATCGTGGAAATACTCTGACCAAGTTGTCCATGATACAACACACACCATTGCATATTCAGAGTATTTTATTGATTTTCAATTTCTTTCTTGTAATTTTTTTTTGTATAGACACGAATTGAATAATCGTTATAAATTGGATAGTTCAGTATTGACTAAGTTTATATCAGCAAAAATTGATTTGGAGCAAGCACATTATCAAAAAGATATTGATTTACTTCAAGCAAAGTAATTTTCGAAATAATATTTTCTTATTATTTTTGTACGAAAACTTAATGTTTAGAAAATAATTTTTTTCGTTTGGAAAGCACTAAGTAATTGTCTACTAGTACCAATTTATATTTTCGCTTGGTAATTCCCTATGATCCATAGTCAGTCAGTTGATCTAACTATGAAATTAGTTGCATGAGACAGTTTCTTATATGCTCTTAATTACCCGACTGTAGCTGCCACCTTGATGTGGTAGTTGGGCTTGACTGTCGTGATAACCCAACCGAGCTATATTGGCTAGAACATATGTTCTTGTAGGTTCTGACATGCCAGGCAGGTCGATTGGAGAACGATGAGACCAAAAGCAGCTACTCAATGTGCTGACTGTAGAGGGCTTGACTGCAGTAAGGTGCTTCCCTCGGATAACTAGCATCTGCAGCGATGCTACCTTCTCACAAGGAAGGAAGAGTCTAGAAAAGGTCAACCCTAAAGATGTCACACCTCACCTTACCTCACGGATTTCCGTCTCCGGCGGTAAGGTCTTTTAAAAAAACAGCGGGGGCGAACAATTTAAAAACTCATAAAAAGGCTGCGCGTAACCGGCCTCAAGCAGTTGTCCCTTGGGCTCTGCGATCATTCTCCCAGGTCTCAAAGACCGACACAAACCTACCTTCCTTTTCAGGTTCCTCAAGTGACATCCACCTCCATACCCGAGAGAGCACAAGAGATCGAATCGGTCACAATGAAATCTTAATTAAGGGTTCTATTTTGATAGACAAAATGAGATTACATTAAGTCAGACTAGGTATTAATTTGATATTTCTATAAATCAAAAGAAACTCATTGGGTGAGAATGAACTTTGATATTACCATCATGATCAGTATAAGATTGTTGAGATTTTTGAGTTTCATCGAGACCATAATTTGATCAGTGTTTGACCATCATTAAAATCCTGGGAGTGCTAAACAGTCTTTCTGTCCTAATTTGGGACTCCTCAGCAATACATCAACAGTCCTTTATGCCAGGATTCCGACTCAAGATCTTTGGTTTCTCGTGCGGACGCTTCACCTCTTGACTACTATGTTAGGATTCAGCAGTGGTAATGTCTAACTTTAAACGATTCACAATATTATGCAACCACCTAGCCTTATTTCCGGTAGGTATTTGCATCACGCCAACACGGTTAAGCTCCCCTGATCACGGTTTCTTATTAGAACTGTGAAAATGTTAACTCATAGTTATTCACTAGTGAACAAATGACAGTTTTAAAAATGGGGTTATTCAAATTGTTTAATTCTGTTAAAATCATGAAACAATCTTAGTTAAACTACGGCACTAAACTTCCGTAGATTGAGGCTAAACACTATTGACAGCCGACTCAGGAGACTAGAGAGTGAACGTTTGTGCTTTCAGAACATCAACTAATCTGTTTTTAGTTCTAGACTACTCAGTGATACACGCTATTAAACAGTGTAACATTAAATCTCCTGACAAACATGAAATCATTTAACTACTCCATTATAATCCGTTGGTCATTTACTATTGATCTTATCAACAAGCAATAAAAAGTGAGCGTTTAATGAGATCGATCGTCATTTGCCTCATTTTCAACGTCGTTCATTTCCAAATAGAACTTGGTAGAATACTTTTTTTTAAGAAACTCAATATTTGTTACAGAAATATTATTTAGTCTAACACTCTCCGGAATCTAAAATTAATTTAAAATGCGTTAAAGATTGTTCAATACATAAAATGACTTCAGTCGGACAAAAGTTTTTTGCACCACTGAATTGGTGATATCCAATGTTTCATACTTCCAACTTCAGTCAATTTACTTTTTTCCACAACAATCACTCATTGACATGAATAATATCCATCTAACACTGTAGGTTGGTAATAATCATCTGTTGACCAATAACTAATTTCAAGAACTTTTTCGAGGCTCATTCTTCTGCAGTTTCCTCTGGTTTTCTAATTACAGACTGTGTCACACACCTGTTAAACTAAAGCTCCTGCTGAAGCCCTTCTTGGATTCTTGCTAATCCCAAGTCCAGATGAAGAGGGGTTGTGCGTAAGGATAGTAACATTATCCGGTAAAAACAAACGCTAAAAACATACTATACAGAAAAGTCTAAACGTTGCACAACCAAATGAACTCTATTTATTTTCATCTAAGTATCGTTTCACATTTTATATAGATTAGGTAAAATGCGGCTTCCAATGGAATCCAGGACGCGCATTTCTTCCTGTCTAGGACTAGTCAGCTGTATGTTCCTGCATTTCAGAGTTGATATTTACTTCGGGACTCCATCGCTTTATTCTCTTAGCTGCTGAGTCTAGATAGCAACTCACTTGTGCAACGGTAATAAGATTCAATTCAATTGGAAATGGTTTGGAATAACGCGTCGGTATGTTTGACTGGAATTCGATCAGTCTTGGCTGGAATATTGACATTGTATGCAGAATACCTTCTGACACAAGATGATATAGAATCACTCACTGACGAGTCCTGACTAGAAAAAACCGCGCATCCACGATCCATCTGTCTGCCACATTCTATATGCTTCAAATAAACGTGTGTCATAATGTACAGGATGCTCGTATGCCATCCATGACTGATCAAATTTCAATCGAGATATCAACAACTAGATAATTGAAACCATTGCAAATTGAATCGTTTTTGTTGTTTTGTACTGGATGCATCTTGATGACTTCAATTTTTTTGTTCTATCTTATTAGATTAATCGATAGCACTAAACGTTACACAGCTCTTGAGAATGAATTTCGAATGGCATTAAAAATTGAAGCAGAACGATATGAAACGGTATATATATACATATACATATTATTGTTAATAATTTTATGCACGAATTTTTACCGCGATAGTTACTTTTGTAAACAGAGAAGATTAATAATTGCTATTTTTTTATTTGGACATATTTTTTCAATGATCGATCAACTGGAATTGTATTTTCAGTTGTCACTTTTTAATGAAATAAAACATGATTACAGAAATTTTATGTGATAATATGTGATATTATGATTACTGATAAATTGATTGTTATAACACTCAGTGTATAGTTCTGTAAATATCATTATTTATATACAGTTTTCATAGTCACTCAATTTTAAACCATATACATTGTTGATCTGAGCTGAAGTTTTAAAACTCAACCACACTGTTCTCAGTATAGAGTTGTGGATATTGTTGAGTTTCATTAAAATCATGAAGCGATCAGCGTTCGAATGCCATTCGAAACAGTGAACAACTGTTCCGTCCAAGTATGGGACTACTCATCAACGAGCGGGAATCGAACCCAGGACCTTCAGTGTCGTACTCCCAGGTTTACACTGCTGGTCTTACATTGATCAGTTCTTATGATTTCAATAAAAATTTTTCTATTCATTTGTAATATGTTCGTTTGGTTTTTTCTTAAATCTGTGTGTGATCTGATTGCAGTTACTTAAAACATCAGAGTTATGTAAAAATGAATTGATCAATGCACAGTTACAATTAAAGGAAATGAAAGAACGTGAAGAATCTGCACGTTGTTTAATTCAAGAATTGAATACGGTAAGTTTACTTGTCTCTAATTTTTAGATCACTTCTTTTGTTTTAATAAAGTTAAAGTATATGTCTGACAAAGCTGTTATTAGGAAACAGGTGCTAGGTAAGAATGGTAAATCAATAGATGAAGTAATGAAACTTCATCAGTTGAGGTGATTGGGACATGTGCTGCGTATGCCTAACCACCGACTGCCTCGAAGAGCTTTGTATTGTAGTGTAGGAATAGGTTGGAAGAAAGTTAGGGCGGCCAAACCAAAACGTGGCACAAATCCATGAATTCATTGACGAGTGGACTGAGCCATGTCGGTAGTTGTCGACTACCTGGTTGGGGTCCGCGAGATGATAATAATCGATGGTTAGAGACCTTGATTAACATGGCTCAAAACCGTTTGCAATGGCGCCGGTGCATTTATTCTCTGTGTTCTCTCAAATCCTAATCTTCTAGATTCTTCAACCCTTCTAGTTTTGACTTTCTAAACTTTTTTCACTGAATCATACTTCTTGAATAATATCTTCTAATCCTAACCTCTCCGATTACTTCTGATACCTTTACTACCTCTACTACTATAGGATTTGAATTGACAATTATATCTCTGTGCTAATGTGGTACGTCAATATGAACTGATGTACTTACGTACGAAGTTCTACGTTGCATCTGACTGACTGACTGACTGATGTTTAGCCGTGTTCGGTACTCTTTATATAGATGTGGCCGCATCTGTGTTTATATTGATACCAAGATTGGAATCGGAGTACCTTTCGTTACAAACATTCAATACGTTATCTACTAAGCTATTGAGTTCAAATACCTAAATAGCTTGTGCAGCAAGCATGAATTTCGTTTTGCAACAGTTTGCATTTTCTTGTGATTGATGTTACAGACTGGAATCAATCAGTATTTAATGGAATCTGTGCATCCTGACCAGATTGTCTCGATACTAATAATTAATCCCATGTTCTTATCGGAGTTTCAGATCTTAACATCAAAAACGGGAGCATACAAGACCTTACTCGCCTTTTAGAATAGATACTCTGCGTTTAGACTGCACAATGATGAATGTGGTGGCTAGAGATGAGTGAGACGCATCTTAACTAATTTATATAGGATTGTCAACCAATTTAACACCATGGTCACACCTAAACATTACTCACTACGTGGCTATATCATTCATTTGCAATTGTTTGAATACACTTTTGGTCGAGAGCTTCAAGTCTACTCGTATATTCTATCTTCATTCGTCATATATCATAGCTGTAGAGAATTACTGAGCGGACTTCTCAGTGTACTCTACCTTTAAGAGACAAACAGCTGTCTTACTTACACCATACATGGCACGAGTTCACCAAACTCTAACGAGGTTCCGTTCGAACGCTGAAATATTTTTAGTCATTAAACTATTCGGATTTGGGAGATTTTCAAGATTTATAATTCACATCATATGTTTTTAAATTTTGTCTACCTAAAATAGTCTCGATGCCAATGTTTACACTCATAGGGATAGAAATGCATTTGAAACTCTCTTTGACTGTTTATGATGAGGAATTCAGAAGACTAGAATTCCAGAGAACACAAAGAATGGATGCAACTGCGCCATTGCAAACGATATCGAACCAAGTTATTCAAAGTCTCTAACTATCGGTTACTATCATCTCGCGGACCCCAACCATATAGTCTACAACTGCCAACATGGCACAGTCCACTTGTCAGTGACCTCATGGATTTGTGCCGAGGCAGTCGGCGGTTGGGCATTCGTAACACATGTCCCAACCATCTCGACTGATGAAGATTCACTACTTCATCAACTGATTTGCCATCCTTATCTAGTATCCTTTTCCTAACAACTCCATTGCTTACTTGATTATCCCAGGATATATGAGCAATGCTTCGAAGACACCGATGATCGAATACTAATAGTCTATGAATATCTACTCCAACTGGCCATGTTTCACAACCATAACAACGTAACTGCTGTTCAGTCAACTCATCCGTTAGTTGTTAGCCGGATATCTCACCTACGCCATAATTGATGCAAGTTGGCAAAAGCTAGTCGAGCCTTCTATATCCTTCGATGTATCAGATGAGAGTTTTCTCTACTATCTGATTTTCAGTCAGTTGTCTGATGCATGATTTCGATAAAAAGATACAAGTATACTTTCATCCATAAACTGACTAAAAAAATGGAAGGTTTTTTAATTTGTACATTTAGTATTTGTTTTCCTAAAGATTATGACTGTAAATTTGGATGTTCACATTTAGAATTGGATTATGGTATATGAATGGTTTGTCCAATAAGCATATGCATTAAACTGCTTATAAGTGATCAATTGAATCCTGACCACCTAGATTAGTCTGATCTCGGCAGCTTATCTTTATTCTTCCGTTGATTAAAGATTGTTGTTAATCCCTTTGAATACTCAGTTTTGTTTGTGAGTTTTAGTCTAATGGTTTGTTCACTGTGTAAGATCACCATCTCTAATTACCAAAATTAACATCTATGGTTTATTTTTTGTTGACGGAAATCTTGAACAGTTATCGGGCGATTGGATAAAGTTGAAAATATTTGAAGTGATGTGAAAATAGCTAAATAAACTGATTTTTAAATCAATCAAGGCAATTTGAGTCAATAATCACAATGAAATGAAATATATTACGTCATTACACATAGACAGCCTCGGCACAAATCCATGGGGTCACTGACCAGTGGACTTTGCCATGTTGGTAGTTGTACACTACATGGTTGGGGTCCGCGAGATGATAGTAACCGATAGTTAGAGAATTTGAATAACATGGTTCGAAATCGTTTGCAATGGCGCAGTTGCATCCATTCTTTGTGTTCTCTAAAATTCTAGTCTTCTGAATTCCTCATCATCATGTTTTTTTCGTAACAATGGAAATGGACAGATGTGTTCTTGTACAATGTGAAGTATTTGGAAGGCAATAGGCTTGATCTATCCTACGTAGTTACTCAATAATTTTAAAGATTGCTACAATTTATTCTGTAGCAGACTTGAACTTATCCTCATTTAAGTCAACCTTACTTTTTCCCTCTTTCATTCATAAAATTATTATCATATTTGATCTGAAGGCTTTTCTTTCAATAATTGTTTTATTTTTACTAATATAGATGGTTAATGAACAAAAATCTAAGTTAACAAATCAACAAAAAGCTCACCTTTTATTACAACACAATTTAAAGGTAACATTCTATGAGAGTATGTTTGTGTAAAAAATTCATTATATCGTTTTTTTATTCAGCATTGTTTTACTGCATTGCCTTATTCTGATTCTCATGAACAACGACTACTTTTACAATGCAATTACTGTTTACGCGAACTGAATTCTTATTTGTTACTGAAACTAGCAGTTTAAACATCTAGGTGACCACCTTTTTGGTAACAATACAGTATAGGGATGAGATTAAAACCATAGATTTTTAGGTATTTTTTTTAACCAACTGGAAAACAGCTATTTAGAATAGATAGTTTATTGTAAAGAAAATGTGTAAATCGATTCTACATATTTAATAAACCTATGAAAGTTTTTTTTTAAAGGTCAGAAATCATCTAGTCGAAAAATGAAAATTTCGGTATTAAGAAAAAATCATTACCCGACATGAGACAATGGGTACTAAGAGTGTTTGAGCCCATTCACATCAAGCTGGGCTGCATCTCTTGCAATCCTATGCCATACTGCTAAAAAGAGCTGAAGGTTTCCTATGAGACTAGAGGTTCGCTGTGAACAATGTGGATGGCTTGGCATTGCTTTGGCAAGTAGTGCTATCAGTTCATGTACAAAAATGGTTAGCAGGGTGACCAATTTCATTGATACTGATGGTTGTTTTGCAACATTCTCGAGGGTCATTGTCATCAGGGTACTGTAGTGCATATTACTATTGCTAATAATAATGAGTTTTACAGTCATGTAAGCGGAACAGGTCGAATTGGCCTATTCATGCAGGGCAATATTGACTGTGACGCGATCATGTATCGGAAATAATCCATATATACATGTACTAGTGTACATAAATGGTGTGAATGGTCCACCAGCTTGTCATATACCTGTCTACGGTTGCACCATGGGATTGAGCCGAACTGTTCATGTTAAAATGTTAACACATGGGTAGTCTCCTTGGTTCTCTTGGAAACCAGTGTAAAATTACCCTAACCCAAGAGAGGGTTAACTTATACGGAATATATTAGTTATAAATCGAAAAAAAACAGCGTATAAATTCATCTGATTTGTTTCATCGAAACCTTCAAAGGGCCTGAAGACATTTGCAGCATTCTCCATGTTGTTCCTAGTTCAGATTAGGATTAAGGGTTTAAGGTTGGAGTTTTTATCATGAACCAACATTATCTATGCTTATGTGTGGGTTTCTTGTTCTATCTGATTAGTTCTTCTGTAAAATATAATATAGTTAAATATATGATCGTAATGAATAATACTTCCTTATACATACTTTTTATACAGTATCTTTTTAGCTCTACGTCAGAATACACACACGTATATATATATATATATATATAAATTTTTTTCCTACTGTCTTTGCCTATTTTACAGGAACGTATTGCAACCTTGGAAATGCATTTAGAAGAAGCACAAACAAGAATTAGAAATCATGAAAATTTAAGAAAGGTTATTAGTTCCTATACTTATTATGACCTGTATTCATTAATATGATCTTATGATAACTACACTTATTGTCGCCTATTAATTTCTATCATACATTTTCAGCTACATAATTTGTTTCGGTTATACAAAATTACCGTAGAAAATCATATGATCTTGTATTAAATATTATTGGTCAAAGTATAAACATTTTGGGGCACAGTTTTGGAAGTTTGCATTTTTACACATTTGAAATCATCAATCAATCATTGTTAGACCAACATTAGAAACCTGAAAGCACTGGACGGCCGTTCGAATCCTGCGAGGTGCAGGAGTCGTGGATGCGCACTGCTGATGAGTCCCATACCAGGACGAAACGGCCGTCCAGTGCTTCCAGGTTTCTAATGGTGGTCTAACAATGATTGATTGATGATTTCAAATGTATAAACATTTTCCTGTATCAAATGTAACGCCTAATTCGATTTCAGAAAGGAAATCTATTTTTTTGACTTAACTGACAAAATATTACACATTCTATCGTAAATATGGTTTGGAATAAATCCGCAACTAAGGTATTACTCAAACAACTCCAACCATATTTATATATATATATATATATATATATATATATATATATATATATATATAATATAGGTCAGTTGCAATAACGTACTTACCTGTGACTACAACGTGAATCTCAAGGGGTGTATCGATTTTCCCTAAAAACTACAAATACATCTAGTTGAATTATACCACCATAGTATGATGATGCTACAATTGACGACTTTCTTGCTGATCTCTACCGAACAATGAGTATAGTTTTAAGTTGTCCGTAAATCTCTAGCGAAACACATTCATCGTTACAACAATGACTTACATTTTTAACAGTCAATGTATATTGAAGAACCTGTGTACGATCATTTTAGATAACCCATCTTTTTCCCCTTACTTTATATAACATATAGATTGAATGGGAAATTTCTTTGTTCTTTTAATAATTACTGCCTTATGTGTTTGTTTGTTTATGACAGGAATTAAAACAACAGAAAGCTGAAATGACAGCTCAAGAATCAATTATTGCTGGATTGAAAGCTGAACGACGTAATTGGAGTGAAGAATTAGCTAAACAAGGTTGATATTGGTTTGTTGCTTTTTAATTCTGTGATTTATTGCTCTTTTGCGTTTTGTCGCAAAGATTGGCAAGTTGAATCGATGCATAGTTGGAAGTAAACTACATCGCTCATTCAGTTATTGACAAATTCGGCTTTCCTCATTGAAACAGCTTGATGATTATTGGTTGTTTATAAAAGTAGGTGTTAACTCGTTGTTACTATTCAACAATAAATCTTGGCCAAACTTAATTGGAATTTATACATCTTATGTGGATGGATACCTCCATCTAGCTGACAAGTCTCAAGGAGGATGAAACAAGCATCGTGTATAATACCACTGCCAATCATAGTTTAAGTTCTCCTAAAAAAAATAGTCCTTCATTTCTCGGTTGATTGTGGTAAGTGACCAAAAAGCGCAAATTAGAAAGTAGGGACAATTTTATTACTTTGGCACACACACACAGAAATTTATTTATTACAACGAATACATGAGTTTTGCTTAGAGTTCTAGGTTTATCATATTCATAACTGTTGGTGTAATTTTTATATTTTAGGATCAGCTTTGGCCCAGGATCGTGGACGATTGGAGGCTAAAATTGAAGCTCAAGAATTAGAAATAGCTAGTCTCAAAAAATCACTTGAAGTGTGTTTCTTTTCTAATTTTTCAATATTATTTATTTCATTTAATATTTATTTTCAATCACTGTTGAAAAACACTGCTACCCCCAATGGAACATAGGCCACCGACCAGCGAAATTTTTTTCCGGTTTGCGTTTTTTTAGCGAGTTGAAATTCCACGGGATGTGGTCGCTGAGCCTATGCCCAACCCTCCCTCTTTATCCGTGCTTGGAACCAGCAGTAACCATAAAAGGGCTCATGGAGGAGTTAGATTTGTAGTAGCATCTACAAAATCTAATCACCATAAGAAACTCCTCAGTATTTAACAGTTATTAAATTTCATTCTAAGTATCCTTTGTTGATGTTCAGGAGATATTACATTACTTAAAGTTAGGTTTTTTTAAACCTAGCACTTATTAGGAAGTTCTAAAACATTTTCGTTTCCGTCACTATAAGCCCATAAAATTTTAGGAAATGTTTTATTCAATCATCATGGAGTAAAAGCTTCTCGAAAGCATCTGAAAAATGTGGGACCGCGTGTCAAATTTTTGTTTGATTGACCGTACCACTGCTATGTTCACGATGCTTTTAGAAAGATCTAGAAGTCCAAGATGACATACGAATCTATAAGTACATAAACTAGCCTTGAAGTAAAGCACTTAGTCGAATTTCTCCATTGTTTTAATTTGACGTGTATTAATAGTTTGCAATTATAGGAATCGTCTTTGGGAAAGGAAATAATAAACGTCCCAATAAATAGATCTATCACATCTGACCTGGTTTGTTTATACTCATATTGTTGAAATGTTTGACAAGTTCTGAGCGAATGCTATTATTTCAGTCAATCACATTTCATCGTGTTTGCTTACTTCTACAAGATGAGAAGTATTTTTAGCTTGGCATCTATCCGGCCCAAAGATCATTGCAACTTCGGCTAACTTCTATGATTTAAAGGTACCCTAGTGTAGTGCTACAAGATGTGCTCTGAATTCATTCTTTTATAGGGCAAGGAAGTAGGAAGTTTATTTCATGTGTAGTGCAACTTTGTAGTAGTTGTTTCATAGTAGTCACACAGTAATTTTTTGTCATCTGTATATTCTTCTCTAATCAATTTTTTTTAGTTTGTCTAGAGAATTATTTACTATATTTTGCGATCGTTTCATTTCGTTGTTCATATATTTATCAGTCAATGTTATCGACTTACTTACTTACTTACGCCTGTTACCCCCAATGGAGCATAGGCCGCCCACCAGTTTTCTCCAACCAACTCTGTCCTGGGCTTCCCTCTCCAGTTCTGTCCAATGTTTGTTCATTCCTCTCATATCTTTCTCTATTTCTCGGCGTAGTGTGTTCCTTGGCCTTCCTCTTTTCCTTTTGCCTTGAGGGTTCCATGTGAGGGCTTGTCTGTTGGGGATGTTAGATCCCCTAAATTCGCTTGATAATGCCGTATTTCGGTTTTCACGTTCGCCAGCAGGGGCTGATCAAATGACCTTGAGATTTCAATTCCCACCAGGAAAATCAATGGCTGTGATTGGCTACAGTGTATTTTAGTATGCTATTTTCTTAACTGTCTCAAGGACGTTGTTATGTTGTATAAATAAACGAGAGTTGTATGCTTGATTGTACTGGGTTGCTGGGTGTTTGTAGAATATACTTTCTACGCTTACCAAGACTTCTGTTTTACCGTTTGGATTCAAGGTAGCCTCCCTGGAAGCTGGTAAAAGTCTCGTTCGCGTTTATCGACTAAGGTAAACTCGTAATAGCCTCAAGCATACTAAGTGACGAACTTATCATTGTCTAGTGACGCAGTTAGGTGCTTTTCGTAGTGTATGACCTATCCACTTCCACCGCTTCTTCCTGATTTCCTCCTCCACTGGAATCTGACTTGTTCTCTCCCACAGTTCGTTGTTGCTGATGGTGTCTGGCCAACGAATACGAAGTATTTTGCGTAGACAGCTGTTAATAAACACTTGTATCTTCTGAATGATGGCTTTGGTAGTTCTCCATGTTTCCGCTCCATACAGTAGAACTGTCTTGACATTTGTATTGAAAATCCTGATTTTGGTTTTGTTTGAAAGTTGTTTGGAGTTCCAGATATTTTTCAACTGTAGAAATGCAGCCCTCGCTTTGCCAATCTGCGCCCTCACATCTGCGTCCGATCCACCTTTCTCGTCGATGATGCTGTCAAGATATGTGTAGGTGTTAACGTCCTCCAAGGTATCTCCATCAAGCGTGATTCGGTTGGTGCATGTTGTGTTGCATCGGAGAATTTTGCTTTTTCCTATATGTATGTTGAGATCTACTGCTGCAGAGGCTGCTGCTACACTGGTCGTCTTCTCTTGCATTTGTTGTTGAGTGTGCGATAGAAGAGCCAGGTCATCTGCGAAGTCCAGATCGTCCAGCTGCGTCCTAACTGTCCAGTTGATACCGTGCTTACCTCCAGATGTTGACGTCTTCATAATCCAGTCGCTGACCAGGAGAAAGAGAAAGGGTGAGAGTAAGCAACCTTGCCTCACACCGGTCTTCACCTCAAAGGAGTCTGTCAGCTGATCTCCGTGCACGATTTTGCAGTTGAATCCATCATAAGAATTCCGTGTGATGTTGACTATTTTCTCAGGCACACCGTAGTGTCGAAGAAGCCTCCATAGTGTTTTCCTATCCACGCTATCAAATGCTTTCTCGTAGTCGATGAAGTTGATGTAGAGTGGTGAGTTCCATTCAATTGATTGTTCCACAATGATCCGTAATGTAGCAATTTGGTCAGTACATGATCGATCCTTACGAAATCCGGCTTGTTGATCTCGAAGTTGGGCGTCTACGAAGTCCTTCATTCTGTTTAACAATACCCTGTTGAAGACTTTGCCTGGTATTGAAAGAAGAGTGATGCCTCTGTAGTTCTCACACTTGCTGAGATCGCCTTTCTTTGGTATTTTGATGAGGTATCCTTCTTTCCAATCTGATGGTACTTGTTCCTCATCCCAAATCTTCTTAAAGAGAATGTGAAATATTTTCGCAGTCGCTTCCACATCTGCTTTCATTGCCTCTGCTGGAATGTTGTCTGGTCCTGCTGCTTTGCCGTTCTTGATTTGTCTGATCGCCATACTGATCTCCTCAATTGTGGGTGCGCCAATATTAATTGGGAGGTCCTTGGATGCTGCTTCGATGTTGGGTGGGTTCAGTGGAGCTGGTCGATTCAAGAGTTCCTTAAAGTGCTCTACCCACCTATTTCGCTGTTCTTCAGTGTTGCTGATTACTTTGCCTTCCTTACTTTTCACTGGTCGTTCTGGTTTACGATAGTTTCCGGCGAGCTTCTTTGTTGTTTCGTACAATTGTTTCAAGTTTCCGTCTCCTGCAGCCTTTTTCGCCGTCATTGCTAGATCTTCTACATATTTTCGTTTGTCAGCTCTGATGCTCTACTTTACTTCCCTGTTTGCTTCTGTATACTCGGCTTGCGCCTTAACTTTCTCTGCTCTTGTTCGGCCGACATTCACTGCTGCCTTCTTGTTCCTCCTTTCTTCAATTTTTGCAAGAGTATCAACAGAGATCCATTCCTTGTGATGGTGCTTCTTGCGACCAAGGACCTCCTGACATGTTCAAGTGATTGCCTCCTTAATCCCTTTCCAATTGTTCTCCAATGTTGCGTCCTCTCCATTGAGTAGATCCTGAAAGGCCTGGAACCTATTGGTGAGGGCTATCTTGAATTCGTTGAGTTTTACGGTATCCCGAAGAAAGGCTGTATTAAACTTCTGTGATGTTGTCTGCCCCGTTGTCCAGTGCTTCTTTAGCTTCAATCTCATTTTGGCGATCAGCAAATGGTGATCTGAAGCTATATCAGCTCCTCTCTTGGTTCTCACATCCTCCATGGTCCTTCTGAACTTTTTGTTGATACAGATATGGTCAATTTGGTTTTGAGTAGTGTGGTCCGGTGAAATCCATGTGGCTTTGTGAATGCGTTTGTGCGGGAATATTGTGCCACCGATGACCAGTTTGTTGAAGGCACATAGGTTTGCAAATCTCTCACCGTTTTCGTTCCTTTCTCCCAGTCCATGTCGTCCCATGATGTCTTCATATCCAGTGTTGTCCATTCCAACCTTGGCATTCAGGTCTCCCATAAGAATCGTCAAATCCTTTGGTGAACATTTATCGACGATTGACTGCAGCCTTTCGTAGAATTGATCTTTAACGTCGTCATTGTAGTCATTGGTAGGTGCATAACATTGGATGAAGTTCATTGTAATGTCCTCTTTCTTCGTTTTGAAGGATGCTTTAATGATCCTGGGTCCATGAGATTCCCATCCTATCAGTGCCTTTTGTGCATGTTTGGACAGCATCAGTGCAACTCCTTGTGTATGTGAAGCGTTTTCCTCTTCATGACCAGAGTATAACAGCAGTTCCCCTGAAGCTAGTCTCAGTTGTCCTACTTGTGTCCAATGCTTTTCACTGATGCCGAGCACCTCGAGGTTGTATCGTTTCATTTCTGCCGCAACTTGAAATAGTCTTCCAGTCTCCCACAATGTACGAACGTTCCATGTACCTAAAAAAATGGTTGCTCTGGTTGTCAGAAGAGGCATCGGCCCCGTGACTTCAGAGGGAACTCGGCTTTCATCACGAGACGTCATAATTCTTCTTCCAACTCCCAGGGCAGAGTTAAAATGGTTTGAATTATTTTTTCTGGTTAGCGTTTTTTTGGCAAGTTAGTTTTTGACGGAATGGGGTCGCCAACCCCATGTCCAACCCTCCTCCTTTACCCGGGCTTGGGACCGGCAGTAGCCCCTAAGGTTCTACTGGCGGAGTTTCAATGTTATCGAAGTGGATAATTATTAGCAAAGTGCAATCATTAGATAGAGTTTCAATGTTTGAATGATACACTCTCCTCTCTTCCTATCACCATATATAGTGTTTGATAATGCTTTTTAAAAAGCAAACTGCTCATGTAAATTTTAGTGCTGACTTATCAAAACTTTCCCAATGTTGTTTACTGATGTCATCTTTAGAATCTCCCCGAAAAATCTACTTGCCAAACTAATTGACAACAGGAAATGTAATTGTTTCTATTGAATATTGAAATGTACCTGTGATCATTTCATCGCTCCGTGTGCGATAGGAAGTGACTTGAATAGAAATCGATATTTTTGCTCATTTGATTATCTTATATGAAATGTCCTACTTTTTTCTTCTATTCTACTGCCGCGTAGTCTAGAAATAATTTCATTGGATAGTTTATTGTACGATTGAACTCCTAACAGCACACGAGACCGAATTGTTCACTGTCGAATCCTTCCTACTCCCCCTAATATCTCTCCCATCTCCACGACGAACTCTTCTCATATTCTTTTATCGCACAGCACCGCTAATGTAAACGATGCGAGTTCACGAAACGTTATTCCTGGTCTCTTGAAACCTCGTACAATTGAACCAAACAGCTTAAATCACTCAATTATGTCTTTATCGCAGTTTTCTGTTATTTGGCTTTGTATGTAAAAAGTTCTACTTTTACTGTGTAATAATTCCTTACAGTCACGGACTACTTGAGTAATATTGTGTTAAGCACTGAATATACAATGAGACTCACTCAATTGAAACTTTCGACTTATGATATGAAATTTCAATAGTTCATTGTTAATAATTGGAAACCATAACTCGATCAGTGACTAATTCTTTCTTCAGAAGTGAAATTCCTTGTAGTTACATGTGATACTTACCGTTTATATAAAATTCTTACTAGTAAGTGATTTAATATCATGGCCTATGAACAATTTTAATGTGTAGTCATGTTAAGAAGACTTGATGAAATCGGCGGCCGAGCATATCAATAATCGGTACATATTCTAATTACATTTTTTCATATTGCACAACTTTAGAATGAAACTGATTCTGTGAAAATCAAAAACAAAATAATTGATGATCAAACTGAGACAATATCGGATTTGAAAAAGGCAAGTTTCAGTGCCATTTTTTATTTGCTTTCACTTTGTTTAAACGACAAATCGATCCAGGGTGAGCAACCATCGAAAACATAGCAGCAACTAACAGTGAGCATCCAGAACCTTCGGCCTAAAGTGCGATCGTCCAATCTCTGGACTACTGACCCCGGGACCTAAAGGTCTAATTTCAATCAATCGGCAATATTTCGCAATCACTTCTCATTGCCTTCAGTGTATGCCTTCTTTAATCCCGGCCTGGTTGAACTCCACTGATCATGACTGCTCATTAGAATTTCGTAAATTTTCTCCGGAAGCCAGTTTAAAGTCGGTTTTTATTAAATCATAATTCAGCGGATAACACATTGACCTTCAAAGTTATTTAAGGTCAATACAAGGTTGAAGTGTTTGGTGGGAATACCAGCACTGAGATGCAGGTACATTGATCTAACATAAAATATGAGCCCCGGATTCTACTGCCAGTTACAATTCTAAAACTTTATTAGCATTCAATCATTTAATTGACATAAATTAACTCATAGACCAGATAAAAAATATTATAACAATCTAAAATCTGCAAATCTATTGAGAACAGGATTAAAAAAACTATTTATTCACAATGTCAATTATGTGAATTTTCATTACATGGAACAAAGTGATTGTGATCGTCAGTAATGATTGAATATATTTGATTTTGAACTAAAAACATTCGATATATACATCATGAATTCTATATCAGTAGTATATCTGGATCATGATTTCTACAGAACTACTGTACATCAGAAAGTTTTAAACATTTTAGAGAATGTTTAAATGAATAAAATATACTTTAATACAAGTTTTTTTCTATATTTTGAGAAACCTTTTAGTTTGATTTAAATAGAAACAGTTACTGTAGTCTCCTAATTTTTTGCCTAACCAATAACTAACCCACTGAGGAGATTAATTGGTAGAGATTGAACAGGCTTTCATTGTTGATGGAATCAGTCGCTTCTGTCAAGAAAAAAATGTTTCCACCTTCATATTTTACAAAATATAAATCATAAACTAGTTTATTATAAAAAGAAAAATTTCTATTTTAGTGTATTCAAGGGAATCAAGCTGAAATAAAAAGATTACAAAATGAAAATACACAAAATCATCATTCTTTAGACAGTCAGTTAAAAGAGAAAATTCAAGAAAATACAGAAATGCATGTAAGCCAGAATACATTAAAATTGTGATTGTTTTATTTTCAATTACTCTTTTTTTAACTGTTACAACATGTCGAGTCATCTTTTGCCTCAACAAACGACATTGTGGTTTAGATTAGAATTAACTATAAAAAATAATAAACGTCGTCAGTGCAAGTAATGTGATTAGTCGATGACGTTAGGGATTCAATGTAAGAGTAGTCTGCAGAAACAAAGATGACCTTCATGATTATGCAAACGGTAGTAAACACGATTCCCGACAGTAACTGCTACCTTAACGTGGTGGTCGTGCTTGTCAATTGTAATGACTCGACCGAGTTATACTGGCTGGAATATATGTTCTTTTTAGTCCTACCATGCCAAGCAAGTCTATTTGAAAATGGTAAGATTAAAAGCAGCTACTGAAGGTCTGAGGGCGAAGTCGTACTGCTGACTGTAGGCGGGTGCGAAAGCAATAAGTAAATTAATTCCCTCGTAAAACCAACATCTTCTACGATGCCGCCTTTAGAAAACAGACGAAAGAGGTTAGAAATAGTTGACACTAAAAATATCTCCCACACCCTACCACACGGATTTCCTTGTCTGCCGGTAAGGCGACATGAAGAGCGGAGCTAACACTACAAAATCTTCGCATCAAAAGTCCATGCGTGACCGGATTCAAGCAATTGACTCCTCAGCTCTGCGTCCTCGCTCATAGGTCACTAAGATCAGAGCTAAGCCAACTTCCTTTGCAGGTTCTTCAACAATGAGTGACGTTCCACGACGGTGTGGGAAGTCTCATACAGAAAACAACACACAAGATCGACTTGATTACAATCAAATCCTTCCTACACCTATTGATAATTCTCTTTTCTTCACGACTAACATTTCCTATATGTCCTTACACCTGGCGCCGCTAGTACTAACCATTTGAGTACACGAAATGATATTCCTGGTCTCCTGAAACCCTGCTTCATACTAAGTGTTGTGGCTTTCAAATGTCCGAACCTTGTGCCAAATAAGACTACAGGATTGCTTAACTAGGAATTTAGAATCTCGTGTCGTCGATGTATGCTGCGTCTAGGAGCGCGCATATAGGATCCGAGGAGAATCATGAATTTGACTTCACCTTGTCAAAACAAAGAACCGTTGTGATTTACGTTTCATGTATTTGGAAGCCCCTCTGTTGCTCCCTGTGGCCTAACCAGTGCAGGTATATCATGGACTTTAAAAGCAGAACTAACACTTCTAGGCCGAATTTCGGCAAACACTCGTTTGTGCGCAGACCGACTAAACGGTAATTAAGGACTCCGAAAGATATTGACACCCGTTGTCTCTACCTACGTTCCCACTGACTGCAGCTCGGGTGAATTAAAAGAGTAAATTCGATAGAAAGCTTTACAACCTTATTCAAAAAGCTAAGCACTCTGATGTAATAATAGTGGCTGGTGACTTTAATGCTCAAGTAGAGAGACAAAGCGATACTGAAAGACACCTTGGTAGATCTTATGCTGTCGCGGCTGATCGGAGAGACAGTGGCGACCGTCTGTTGCAGCTAAGCTCAGATAACCGCCTTTTTGTGACAGATACCAAGTGTAAACTTAAGTAACATCTTTTGATATGGCGCCCCCTCCCCCGAATTCGCCACAACGTTGGATCCAGCTAGATCACATCGCCATCAGTCACCGGTGGAGTGGTCCGATAGAGGACTGTCGTTCGTTCTGGGGTAAATGTTTGGATTCAGGTCATGCTCTAGTACGAGCGCATATTTGTTTGCGGCTTACTGGACGTAGGAAAGACACTGCAAGTAGGGTCCTACTGTATGATAGCTCAACTAAGAATATATTTCAGGAGCAACAAGGAAAACAGTTAGACAGCCATGTAAGTGATTCCTACCCCGAGGCAGCATGGTGTGATATCCAAAAAGCTGTGGAAACAGCAGTGATATCTGCCAGTAGGAAAAACCACAAAGTTAGGGAAAAGCATGATGCGGAGCGGATGCTGCTTAAGCACAGGCCGATGAAAAGCCTTCGCAATGATCGCGAACACTCTTCTTCGTATGGTCAGTTTTACTGATATAATATCCTATATATCAGCTTCAGTTTTTCATCGACACCAAACTACGGCTAGTGAAGAGCAGACTCGAGAAAACCAGGTTGGTTTCAGACCTGGACGTGGGTGTATAGACCAGATAATTAGTTTGTCAGGTTCTATAACGTAGACGTACTTTATGACGTCCGGTAGTGGTTGCATTACTTGATCTTAAGGCAGCATCTGACTGCTGATCATGAGGTTCTATGGCAGTGTCAGTCATTGAAAGGTATACCAAATAAGTACATTGACGTTACATGGGCTTTAGACTCGAACACTACTGGTCGAGTCAGAGCTTACGGCAAACTGTCATCGGAATTGATCACTTCGAGTGGTGTTCTTCAAGTAACCACTTACTCCATTATTATTCAACTTTATCACCTACATGCGTTTAGAGAAGACAATCGCATCATCTGACTTTTCACTTTTCTACCAGGAGACTCGCTTGTTGAAGATGCTAACAAAATGCTAATTCTTCTGACAACCTCAAGTAACAATGCGCGCAGGTTTGAGATAAATTTCTGGATGCAAGATATTGCTTGGTGACTGCTGTTACTCAACGCCTGCACTAATGATCGGAAGTGTAGTAGTTAGGCACATCAACTACTCCAGTTATCTCGGAAGTCTCATCAGTCTCGATGGTTTCGTGTGTGAAGAGATCTCGGCGCCATTTCACATAGTTTGCTTAAATTTTACCAACTTGCATCATTTGTAGTGTACGCGAGATATCCACTTATCAGCTGAAAGATAAGTTTACTATGTAGAAGCTCAATCCGTTTTACTTTGTGGATATGATGAATGCCAGTCTGTTTTCAGTGCAATGTGTTCCTTGGTCCACCTCTTTTCCTTTGGCCCTGAGTTTCAAGTTAAGGCTTGTCTTGTGATGCTGTTGAATGATTTCCATAATACATGTCCCATCCACCTTCAGCCCTTTCTCTTAATTTCTTCCTCACCTGGAATCTGATTTGTTCTCCCCCACATTAGGTTGTCACTGATTGTGTCTGGTCAACGGATTCAAAGTATCTTGTGTAGACAACTGTTAAACCACAACTGTTTAATGTGCCTCCGACAAAAATTGTGTTGAAGGCACATAGATTTGCAAATCTCTCATCGTTTCAGTTGCATCCTCCCAGTCTGTGTTGTCTCATCATGTCTTCATATCGACTGTTTAAGAATGCAACCGATCAGTTTTTTAGACGGTGGAGAGATCTGATCATTCTCTTTGACATATGTGCATCCTGTGCGGATTGCCTGGAAATCGCCATTAGGTTACAAGCATTATAAGCAGAGGTTAATGGTGGCTAGCAGAGAAGTGCAGGACGCGCGCCTCACCTTGTCTGGGACTCGTCAGTCGGATGTACCTGCACAATGCGTCTGATCTAATAACCAATATCCAGGTAATCTGCACAGGATGCACATCTACCAGAACAACTGAACAATTGCAACGGTATACATCAATGGGAAGATTCATGCAACCAATACAAATTAATTAATTTCCACTCTATTGCACAAGTCTGTTATTATCTGGATCAGTTAATCAAATTTGATAAGTGTTCAAATAAAAGTCTTGTAAATTAAATTGCCAAATATGGAATTACAGTCTTCATGATAAGTGAGCTAAAATTAAGTTGGCTGAATAAACTATCCATTTATGGAGACATGATCACCTTGCGGTTTCATCTCGCCCTCAGAACGGAAAATGGTTATGTGAGGCGGTACTAGGATAAATTGGAGATTATTGAAATTCAAACAGTAATGGGACACCTAAAGAACTTAGCTTATTTAGATTCGGAAACCGATGGAACATGTATGTAATCTCAATGATTAAAATTTAAATAATTCTGATGCGATTATCAAAAATTTTGATAAGTTTAATTACTTTCCTGGGGAAAAAAAACCTCCACCACATCAGTTCGTCGAGTGGAATGTTGAAATTATTCCCATTTCAATTGCTGAATCTATTCAGATAAGATTTTTATATGTGTAAGACTTAGCCTGCTGTAAATGTATAACTGTATTTGACTGATTTATGTGTATAATTATTCTTTGATCAAATTTTTTCACGTTGAACTAATTTCAGGATGAAATAAAACATCTTATTAAACGCAAAGAAGATTTGAAACTACTGGTAACTGAATTACAATCAAAAATAGATGAATTACAAACGCAAAATGAGTAATTCTCTCATTTTCGTTTTTATATATATTTTAATTCACATTATTTTGATTTCACATTTTACACTACTCGTTTTAACATTATTTGAAAAACAACGATGCACAGGGAGAGCAATGCACAACTTTATCTATCGAATGGTATTTGGCATTTCTATTCTAATGGTCTATTCAATTTCTGCTGTGTAATGACTTTTTCATCTTTACTCACAACTATGGTAGCTAAATGATATTTAGAAGTTAGGGGCGGCCAAACCAAAACATGGCAGAAATCCATGAAGTCATTGACAAGTGGACTTAGCCATATCGGTAATTGTCGACTACCTGGTTGGGGTCCGCGAGATGATAATAATCGATGGTTAGAGACCTTGAATGACATGGCTCAAAACCGTTTGCAATGGCGCCGGTGCATTGATTCTTTGTGTTCTCTCAAATCCTAATCTTCTAGATTCTTCAACACCCCTAGTTTTGACTTTCTAAACTTTTCTCACTGAATCACACTTCTTGAATAATATGTTCTAACCCTAACCTCTCCGATTACTTCTAATTCCCTTACTACCTCTTCTACTATTGGATTTGAATTGACAGTTACATCTCTGTGCTGATGTGGTATGGCAACATGAACTGATGTACTTACATACGAAGTTCTACGTTGCATCTGACTGACTAACTGACTAAATGATATTTAGCCTTCTAAATTAAATATGAACTTGTGGTACACAAAAATAATGGATCTTTTGAATAAAGCTACTTTTTTACATTGATTATCACTGAAGTAGGATGAAAACCTAGGCTTCGGATGAACTTGATGATGTCTGTATCCAATATGTAACCAGGATTGGTAACATGATAGTCTGATTCTCATCTGAAATATAAACTGACATTGAGGAAACAGTATCTATCGTGCTTCTTTGATATACAAACGTTATCAACTAGACTACAAACCCTATGAATTAATCGAATATTTCATTCGAAATTGGCATGTTCTATATAGGCTTAGTGTTTAAAACACCTAACATTCACTCTACTGACTCCAATCAAGAAAATAGTAACACTAGCTAGCCTTCATCCAATTAACAATGTAACTCAAAGTACAATACATAAACCTCTAGATGTTAACTATGTACCACAATAATAAAGCAATTAGTTCGAAAGCAAATGATAAACTCACATATGCTTAATAATGTTCACTATAAAATCTGTCTGACCTATTGACTGTTTAATTCGTTGAATGATAAACAAACTATAACTACCTCTAATCAACCATTTGAAGTTACTTTTTCTGATGATAAGTTCCTGTCGACTTTGTCATCTTCTTAAATCTCTTTGAAAATACAGTATTTCCTTGTTTTAATTTTTTAAAACTATTAGCTCTATGACACAACGTTGGCGTGATCGTGCAAGTTTAATCGATAAATTAGAAAAACAAGTGGAACAAATGCGTTGTAATTGGGATAAAGAACGACAACACTTAATAGATGAACGAGATACTGCACGAAAAGAAATTAAGTGAGTTTAATTTGATGCATCTATTCTGACTGAATTTGCTTTATAAGTTCTAGTTGAAATTAGGTATTCTCTGTTATAATGCTGCTACGTAGCTATTCAAATCCTACCGACGTCCGAATTCAAATATTCCAATACGACCCAAATCTCCTAAATATCAGAACGCAACACCGTTGGATGGAGTTGTTTATTGGGTCGAGTACAGAAGAGAGATAGGCAAGAAGGAACGGAATCATGAAGTCTTACAGATAGTGTGTATTTATACTTAAGTCGAATAAGAAAGAGCATCGAAGTCTGTGATATTGACAGTTTAGGACGACCAATAGGAAAGAATATTTGAAATGACATTGACAGTCTGGATGACCAATACGAGACAACATTGAAGTATTTGACTTTGACAGTTAAAACGACCATAATTTTGACCAATAGGATTATACTTCCAAAAATAGTACTCTTAGGATATTTGATGAATATCCTAACATTCTCTTATTATGTAAAATAAACTGAATCACCAATTCGAACCTACATATATATGTGAAATTGATTGAAGCTAAAAATATAAACTATTGAATGTTCACAACCTATCAGGTAGTTAGGTTGGATGTTATTATACGCAAATCGCTTGCGGGATGAGTCACTTTGAGCCTTTTGTTCGAGTTAAAAACATATTCACGATAGATAATTAAGAAACTATGTCCCAATAATATTAGGAAGATGAATTGAAATCCGTTTTTTTTCGTTGATGAAATACAAGCCGAATATTTAGTTATTTGATCAACAGATTATAGTAAAGTTTATTCACATCAATGTACTTGTCATTTAATTCATGTTTCTTTTTGTCTTACAAGTGAATTACATTCACAAATGCAAATGATAGACGAGAGATATCGTCAACAACTATCAGCTACTGAGGAAATGAAAGATTTGACAGTGAATCGTGTAAAAAACGAAGCAGAACAATTACGTATCGCTTGTGAAACACGTGTAGCTGAAGTAGGTTTATTTCTTTCTAAGAAAAAAAAGAATTCAGTTTAAAATTCGGAAAGTCTGATTTTTGGTCAATTTTCGACAACTTTTTCGTAATTTATAGTATTAATATTTAGATCAAAAGGTGTCCAACTAAATACATTTTCTGATCGGAGAACGTTGTGTACTGATAAGCGACACTGTATACCCTAGAAGTTTTACTTTTCTTCAAATTGCAACACCAGATAGATGAAACTTACCAAAATATGAGTTCTATGTACTCTATTCTCAGCTACATTTAAAGTGTGAATGCTTACATTATCCGATCGCTTACATCAAAGTGAAGTGGCATTTCAACTGAGTATTTCAATCCTAAATACTCAACAATATCATTAGTAATTTTTTACTTTGCATGAAAATTGATCACTCCTGAATTCAATGATAATATCGAGTTTTAGATGTAAATACTATTTGTAGTAAGTAACATGACACATGGATGGAAAACATCAGCATCAAGATTTAGGTAACTAAATGACTTAGTCTCTTTACATATTGGAAAAAGGGTTTAAAGTCTAATTTTAAAATTTTCAGAATGGGTCATAAATTACAAGTTATACTAAGAGTTAAGACAGATTAACTGAAAATATTTATTTGATAGGCAAAAGTCAATATCCAAAATACTTACATTAGCTCTGAAGAGTGTGTTTAAATTAACAAAGTCTATGGAAATGCTAAATTTCTCTAAACAATAAGTTGATTAGATTAAATGATAAATGTCAACTAAACAAAACTCATAATCAAATATTTCGCAGATATTGATGTACATAGTGGTTATTCAAACTGAGTACACCTTTTATGTAATATATATAAGAAAGTTAATCGATTTTCGGCTTCAGAAAATATCCTTTAATCTACTTACGATAAGATCAGAATTGATGATTTTAATTGAGAACTAGGTTATCAAGAATTTTAATATTAAACTCCAATAGTTCATTTCTTGCAAATTAAAAATTCCTTATTTTTCGGGGTTTTAAGCCCACATAAATTATCTTATGAAATACAGCAATTTGAACCGACACATGTATATTCAATTTCACATATCATAATTGTAATTTTTTTTGAACATCTAAAGCTAATTAAATTAGGTTGCAGTTTCATAATACTATTAAGGAAAATAATTCTCTATTTTGATTTTTGATTTCTATACAGGTCGAGTCAGAGATGCGCGCAGTTCTTTTGGAAGCAGAAAATTCAAGAAAAGCCACACAAGAAAGACTGAGATGTATTTCAACTGCTTTATGTGCTCCAATCTTACTAAATGACAAAATTCACTGTTTTAACACACCTAACTGATAATCAGTCAAATATTGGAGAAAATAATTCAAAATGACTTGCATTACATAGATCTTCAGCTTTAAAAAAAAAAGGGCTGGACTAACTATAATTAGCATGATGAACAAGTACTTCGAAGTTGATTTTTTGATTAACTATGATTTTGTTGTACAATTTATCTTCTGCTACCTTCAAACTACACTGTCCATCCCGGGTGTAATTAACTAACGAATGACCAAAAGTTTACACAGAGACACTAAGTTTATTTATTATAAAAGTTTATGTGATGAAGACCTTTTTTATATCGAAAAACTCACTGGTTGAGGGAACACTAAAATAAGGATTAGTTAACGGAAATTCCATAATGGTTTACAGTTTTAGCTCACTTTCGTAGTCAAAATTACGACTCTTAACATCTTGACATCATCAGCCATTCACTGTTTGAAGCACTCGGCTAAAACACTAAGTATCACGATTCAGGTTATTGAGCAAGACGGTAGTCAGTCAGACACAACGTCGAGCTTCGTACGCACATACATAAGTTCAAGTTGACCTACCACAATGACAGAGAGGTGCAAATGCCGATTCAAATCCCATAGCAATAGAGGTTTTAGCAGTATGAGTGGCAATCGAGAACATTAAAGTTCGGAGACCCGACCGTAGATGCTAATTTGACGTGATGATCAAACTTGCCTATTGTGCTGACACAACCGAGTTATATTGGCTGGAACATACGTTTCTGTAGGTCTTACCATGCCAGACAGGTCGACTGGAGAACGATGAGACTAAAAGCAGCTACTCAGGGTCTGAGGGCGAAGTTGTACTGCCGACTGTAGAGGGCTGTGACAGCAGTAAGGTGCTTC